TCTTTTTAAATTTTGCACACCCAGGCTGGCCTTGTTCAGCCCTCTTCCTATGCTCGCCTGAAGCGTGTAAGAACATAGAATGATAGGATTGGAAGGGACCTTGGAGATGTTCTAGCCCACCCCACCCCTCCCCCGCCCCGCAACCCCGCGCAAGCAGGAAGCCCTATACCATTTCAGACAAATGGTGGTTCAATCTCTCCAAAACTTCCAGTATTGGGGCATTGGGAATAATGGAGGCAAGTAGTTCCACTGGTTAATTGTTCTCACCGTCAGGAAAGTTCTAGGTTGCTTCACTCGCTCCTTGATTAGTTTCCATCCACTGCTGCTTGTCCTTCTCTCAGGTGCTTTGGAGAATAGCTCGACTCCCTGAGTCCTTCTTTTCATCAAACTAGACATCCCCAATTCCTGCAACCGTTCTTCGTATGTTTTAGCTTTCAGTCCCTCTCATTCTCTTTGATTAGGGCCCTTGGTGCTCTATGAACTTGGTGGCTATCTTACAGACATTTCGTGACCCAGCTAGGTAACATCATCAGTGCTAGTAGGGAGGGGATTTTCAGAGGAGGAGGAGGACGACAACTGTGGGGTCCTTGGCGCTCTCTGAGCATTGGTTTTTCTTGCAGATGTTTCATAACCCAACTAGGTGACATCATTAGTGGTTGAAGGGAGTAGGGTTTACTCTTATTTTTATATACAACTGGTTTGCCATGCTGGTGGGTGTGTTCTTGATAGTTTCTTGATTAGGCTGTTGTTTATTGTTGGTTTGTTCGTCTGAGTTGGTAGTTTCTTGGTTTGGGGTATTGTTTAGTTTACTTTATTGTCAATGCACCGGTACAAGGAAATCAAACACCATCTTTAGTGCACACCATGAGCATGAAAATAAACACACACCCTTCACACTCCACACATTGATCCGAAAACCCCCAACACTGCGCTATACAGCAGAATTCAAAAGAGCTACTGCCCTGGGATAGAAGTTGTTTTTCAGCCTATTTGTCCTTTTTTTATTATTATTATCCTGTACCGTCTGCCAGATGGTAATAGTTCAAATAAAAAGGGGTGCCCAGGATGAGATGGATCTTTGAGAATGTTTTGAACTTTCTTAAGGCAGCGGGAGCTATGAAGCTCTTCCAAAGAGGGGAGAGGGCAACCCAGGATCCTCTGGGCAATGATGTTAACCCTCTGGAGTGTTCCTATCTGCCACTGTGCAATTGGCAAACCATACAGAGGTGCAGTAAGTTAAGATACTCTCTATGGTGCAGTAAGTTAAGATACTCTATGGTGCAGCGGAAGGTCATCAGCAGTTTTTCATTCAGTTGTTTTCTGAGAAGCCGCAGGTAATCTAATCTCTGCTGGGCCTTTTTGACCAGGGCTGCAATGTGAGCACCCCCAGGTCAGGTCGTCTTTTAGAGTAACACCCAGAAATTTAAAACTGGCCACTTGCTCCATTCGGTCTCCATTGATAAGCAAGGGCTGGATGTCTGATCTGTTTACACTTCGGTGGATGGCCTAATGTTCATTTTGATGTTCACCTCTGCTTAGCTGAGTATAGATGGCTGGGAAAGAGATGCTTTGGTGTTGGGTTTTCTCTTTGGCCTTTTGATTACAGTGTCTGTTTTGAATGATGTGTAAATGTTGCTTATCCAAACGCACCTGTTAATGGTTGTGTAAATGTTGCTTCTCTGAATGCACCTGTTGATGGTTGAGTGCCAGACTTCTAGAAATTCCCTAGAGTTTTTGGAATTGGCTTGGTCTAGGAGGGTCACCGTTTCCCAGTTGAAACTATGGTTGAGTCTGTCCACATGTTGTGAAATTCAAGAGTTTTCATCATGTCTTCTGGCTGCTAGTTGGTAGTGTTCATGAATGCGCTTCTGCTAGTCTTCTGCCTGTTTGTTCTACAAAGTGGCTGTTGCGGTCCTTACACTGCAGGTTTGTATATTAGGAGTCCCCAAATCTTTTGGCACCAGGGATGGGGTTTGTGGAAGACAATTTTCCCAAAGAACCGGGACGAAGGAGAAGCGCACAACCTAGATCCTACACATGTGCAGTTTTGCTCACCTGCCACTCATGTCCAGCTGTGTGACCTAGTTCCTAACTGGCCATGGACAGGAACTGATCTACGGGAACTCCTGTTATAGATAACTCCTGTTTTTTCTTCTGGGTTTTCTGGGTCTTGTGTACTTCTTAGGATGCGTTAAAGGGTGTTAGTTGGTTTGCTTGCTACAGTGATGCCATGTGGTTGTAGGAATTCGTCCTTCCTCCTTCCCTCCCTTTTTTCCTTCCTTCCTTCCTTCCTTCCTTCCTTCCTTCCTTCCTTCCTTCCTTCCTTCCCTCCTTTCTTTCCTTCCATTTTTTTCTTCCTTCCTTCCCTCTCTTTCTCCTTCATCCCTTTACCTTCCTTCCTTCCATCTTATCTCTTTCCCCCACTTCTTTCCTTCCTTCCTTCATCCCTCTATCTTCCATGCATTCATCCTTCCTTTCTTCCCTCTCTCATTCCCTCCTTCCATCTTTCCTTCCTGTTTTCCTCTCCCTCCTTTCCTTCCTTTCTTCCTTCCTATTTTCTCTTTCTTCTCCCTCCCTCCCTCTCTCGGTTTCCTTTTCAAACACAGCGGCCAAATCAGCCCATTTTTCAAAGGTCCACAAAACCCTGAAACATAACCAAACCATAAGTACAGAATTGCCCAACAGACCAAGCAAAAAAATGAGCTGAAGCAAACCAAATTCAAATATTTTGTGCAACTATAGCCCTGGGGGCTTCGCTGACCTGGCTCAACGTGTTGTGCAAAGCAGGCCCTTGCAATGGATATCATGGTGGAAAAATTTCAGCAAAGCCGGAATTGATTCCAGTCACCTTTGAAAGAAAACGGATCAGATTGTTCCAGTTAGGGGCAAGTCAGTTTCTCCCTGTCCTTTCCTTGATCCGGTTTCTGGGGATTCCCCTTTCAAAGGGTTGAATAAAGGTAGCCCTTGACTTAACAACCATTTGTGTAGTGACCGTTCAAAGTTATAACCCCACTGGAAAAAGTGAATTATGATTGTTGTTTTTTTATATTAACCATTGCAGCATCCCCGTGGTCATGTGATCACTTGAAACTTTCAAGAAGAGACTAGATTGCCATCTGTCAAAAAGGGTGTAGAGTCTGCTGGGCAGGGGGGGGGTTGGACTAGATGACCTATAAGGTCCCTTCCAATTCTCCAGGGTGCTGAGCAGAGGAATCCAAAGAATTGGTTAACTCTACCTTACTGCCCAGAGACTGAGTCCGTTTAAACTTTGTAGCCACGCCTCTCTTGGCTGTGTCCCAATTTTGACTCAGTCTTAGCCCAAGAGAGACGTGTTTAGCAAGAGTGCCTCAGAGAAAAAGGCTGAAAGTTGAATTCTTTGGATTCTCACGGAGGACAACTGGAGGCTAGAGCCGATTGCAAGCAGTGAGCACAAGGCACGCACAGCAAATCGGCTGGGTCCCCCAGTCTATCAAAACAGCTGCCGCAACAATCATCTGTTCGGCGGGCGAATGGCACAACCACCGCAACAAATCAGCTGCTTTTCGGCAAACGGCGCTATTTTTGCTAATCTGTAAAACCTGTAAAATTCGGCCATTTGGCATCTGGCATGTACTTATTACAGTTGCTGTGTCCCAGGTTCACTTGATCATCTTTACGACTTTCTGACAAGTAAGTGAATCTGGTTTCCTTGTTGACTTTCCTTGTCAGAAATTGGCAAAATCATGTGATCCCGGGACATCATAGGCATCATAAAGACATAGAATTAACAGTAACACTTAGACTTATATACCGCTTCATAGTGCTTTGTAGCCCTCTCTAAGTGGCTTACCAAGTTGGCAGCTTGCCCCCAACAATCTGGATCCTCATTTTACAGACCTTGGAAGATGGAAAGCGGAGTCAATTTTGAGCCGGTCAGGATTGAACTCCTGGCAGTGGGCAGAGTTGCTTGCAATAGCAATAGACTTATATAAGCGGATTAGAATCAGCATATTTCCCCCAACAATCTGGGTCCTCATTTATCGACCTCAGAAGAATGGAACGCTGAGTCAGCCTTGAGCTGGTCAGGATCGAACCTCCAGGCTATGGGCAGAGTCAGCCTGCAATACTGCATTCTAGCCACTGCACCAACACGGCTTTCTTCCCTCCCTCCCTCCCTCCTTCGCAAGCAATAGCACTTAGACTTATACACCACTTCACAGTGCTTTACAGCAGGGGTCCCCAACCACCGGTCCCCGGACCAATACCGGTCCGTGGAACAATTTCTACCAGGCCGCCGGTTTGCTGGGCGCCGCCATCTTGTTTTGATGAAAAAATGCTTTTCCGAGTAGAAAGCAGCGTTTGGGCGCTGAAAAGAGCCTCGCGCCTTAGGTTCCTTGGGGGGGGGGCGGCTTTGAACAAAACTAAGGCGCGAGGATTCTTTCAGCACGCATGGCAAGGCGAGCTGAACGACCGTCCCAAAGCCGTCGCGAAGCCCATCGACACAGGTACAAAGGAGTTGAAGGTGGCGGGAAGAAGCAGGGGACGGCTGGCTGGCCGGTCGCTCGGCTTGCCTTGCCATGTGTGCTGATGCCGGTACCAAGCCGCGGATGATTTTGTGATGCCGGTACCGGGCCGCGGATGATTTTGTGATGCCGGTACCAGGCCGTGGCACAAAAAAGGTTGGGGGCCACTGCTTTACAGCCCTCTCTAAGCGGATTAGTGTCAGCATATTGTCCCTAACATTTTAGTCCTCATTTTATTGACCTCAGAAGGATGGAAGCCTGAGTCAACCTTGGTCTGGTCAGGATCAAACTTCCTGGCTGTGAGCAGAGTTAGCTTGCATTCTAGAACATTGTATTCTAACCATTGCACCACTGGGGCTCTTACTTGGGTCCACCTGTGAAAGCTGAGATGGCAACAACCTGAGATATTTTACTCAGAAATGGAATGCCAAAGGTTCGCGCATGCGCTGACAATTGTTTGGAAAAACTATTCTTGTTTTTATCCTTTTGTCCATTCAGGTTAACGTGGGGCGGCTGGCTCCTGTGCCCGGTTTTAGTATCCTGAAGGCATCACCAGTGTGTGGAGTCCGCGCCACACCTGCCCCCTACCGAATCACGGCCTTTACCTGTGTGCTCCAGTGTTTCCCCTGCGACCCGTCGTGTAGGAGGACCTCCTGGGCCACCTCCGAGTTCACGCAGCATTCGGTGGCACCAATGGTGAAGATGACCCGGTCCAAGACATTCCAAGCTTACTTACCTTCGTGCCATCGCACGTACAGCTGCATCCATTGCAGAGCTCACCTGGCCAACCACGATGAACTAATTTCAAAGGTAGGCCATCCTCAAGCAGGGAGGACTGCTAGAGTGCCTGGGAAATTGAACAATCCAGAAAAAATTTAACAGATGTTTCATTTAACAGGTCGCCCTCTACTTAATGACTGCAAATTTATGTAGCTAAGTGAGACATTTGTTAAGTGAGTTTTGCCCCATTTTATGACCTTTGCCCTGGAAGCAAATTCCTTGTGTATCCGATCACATTTGGCCAGTCAAGAATTCTATTCTATCCTTTGTTGCCACAGTTGTTAAGTGGATCACTGCAGCTGTTCAGTTAGTCACACGGTTGTTAAGTGAATCTGGCTTCCCCCTTAGCTTTCCTTGTCAGAAGGTCACAAAAAGGGGATCACGTGACCCCGGGACAATGCAACCGTCATAAATGTGAGTCAGTTGTCAAGCATTCAACTGTAAACCACATGATGCTGTGAGAATAAAGAACAGGAAAGCGCAGGGGACGGTGGGAGGGCCGAAACTGCGCTTTTCTCCTTTCTCCTCTCAGCTGATTGTAAGACAGTGATGGCGAACCTTTTCAGCACCGAGTGCCCAAACCAGAATGTGCATGCATGTGTGCGTGCCGGAGCACCAGAAAACCAAAGACCAGCTGGGCAAGTGCGGACATGCCTGTTTTGGGGGGCATTTTTCAGGCCTTCGGGCCATTCTGGAGGCATTTTCAGGCTGGTTTTGTTTGGCTATTTTCAGGCCATTTTCTGGGCCATTTTTGGCCCAAAACCAGCCTGAAAATGGTCTGAAAAACAGTCTATTTTCTGGCTGGTTTTTTGGTTGTTTTCCAGCACTCCAGTGCCCGCGAACACCACCTGGCTGGCATGCCAGAACCCAGAAGAGCAGCTGGCGATGGTGTGCATACCCACTGAAAGGGCGTGGCACTAGTTTGCCATCTCGGTCATAGGAGCTTTGTTTTTTACTACTGGTTGGGGTGAAGGTTCGAGTGAACCAGGTGGAACCAGTAGCATTTCACCCCTGATCTCAGCTCTGCCAGGGTACAAACAGCAGCCCCTACGTTCCTTCCCCAAAAACTCTTATTCAGTGGGTCATCTTTGGAAAAAAAAAATCACCTCAGATAGTCCTTGACTTACGACAGTTCATTTAGTTACAAATGAAAGTTCAAAGTTACAATGGCACTGAAAAAAAATGGCCATTTTCTCACTTATGGACCCTTTGCATCATCCCCAGGGCCACGTGATCCAAATTCAGACATTTGGCCACGGACTCATATTTATGACGGTTCCGAAAGAGTCATGTGATCACTCTTTGCGACCTTCTTCCAAGCAAAGTCAACGGGGAAGCCAGATTCCATTCACAACTGTAGTGGTTCACTTAACGTCGATGGCCAAAACAATCATACATCGGGCTGAAAAAAGGACGTTCACAAGTGTCTTGCTGCGCCAAAGAAATGTTGGGCTCAGTGGAGATCATAAGATGAGGATTTTGCATTGCATAGGAGTGTGGTGGGTTTTTTTTTTTGTACGTGAGCATGTGTTGACAAATTGTGTTGTCGGGGCAGGCGGGGGAATAGTTTATCCATAGTTTCTATTTCAAGAAAGTAAATGGATTGCTTGAGGCTTTTTAATCCGGTTTCCTTAGATCCAGGAAGTAAAATGTTTGTAAACTTTCATACTTTTTTTTAAAAAAAATTTGTGGGTTCATTGGGTGTCCTTCTTTCTGGCAGGTGCAAGGGTGAATATTTTTATTTGATTTTATGGCTTTTGCTTCTCTACGGCCCTGGGTTTGATTAGGAAGAAGATCTACATTGTGGCTTTGTTTTACGGCCGAAATGGAGCCTGGTGGGGTAAAAGCCAAAGGAGTAAATGCGGTTTTGTGGGTTCCCTCTGGACGAACATTGTATGCTTCAGGGTGTGACTGTGGCCTGAAGTTGTTGCGCTTTTTACCCTGGGAGAACTCGGGTGATGAAATTTTGGAAATCACTGGAATGTTTAATTTTATTTCTTTCCAGCATTTATGAGGTGTGGCTAACTAACTGGGCTTGTAAGGATTTCGGCTGGCCTCAGCTATACGGTTAATCCTTGACTTGCAACATTTCAATTAGCGACCGTTTGAAGTTACAGCGGCTCTGAAAAAAACGGACTTATGACCGTTTTTCACATTTATGGCCGTTGCAGCGTTCTGATGGTGGTGTGATCAAAATTCAGGCATTTGGCAGAGGACTCGTATTTTACGATGGTCACGGTGCCCCTTAATGACCATGTTACTAACTTAACAGCTGCAGTGATTCTGAGGGTGCTGCAATGGTTACAAGTGTGAAGAGCAGTGCCAGTGTAAATTTGAACGTCCGCTAAACAAGCTGTTGTATGTCGAGGACTACCTGTATATTGATAATGAGGACTAGGAACTTGGAACATTTCCAGCGACACTCTTGCTGAAAAGAGAGCTCTTTAAACCCGCTTTGGGCGCAACAGTAGTTTCTCTGCATGAGAGCTTGCTGGTCTTGCATTCTTGATTTATAAACTTTCCCAGCCAGTTTCTGACAAGCGAAATCATTTGGAGGAAGTCAAATTCACCGAACAACCATGTGATCTGCTTAACAACCACATAAAAAATGGTTGTAAAATCGGGCACGGTCCCATGATGTCTCACTTAACGACTGCATTGCTTAGCAACAGTCGTTCCCGGCCCCAATTGTCATTGTAAGTCGAGGACGACCTGAATTTGCATCTGGAACTGGACATTTTAATTGAGTTCCACCCGTGCATCCAAGATATATCATAATTCCAACCTAACAATCTGGTTGTTTTGGGCTTTTTGTTTTTCATAGTTTGATACTGAATTTTTTTCCCCCCTTTAGAAGAAATGAACAATGTACTGGATTATGGAAATATGTCAAGAATGCTTTTCTGGCATCCTACATCATCATCTTTCCTTCAAACCAACCAATCGCAATTAAAGTGCCTCGAAAGGGAAATATTTGTAGCTGAAAAATAGGACTTGTGAGATCTGAGCTGCAAAACTCTGGAAACCCACTAGAGGACAGCACTGAATCCTTCTCGCTGCCATCTGCTGGTTATTCAGAGTTCTGCAGTCCAGATATGGTTATCCTCTAGGAAAAACTTGAAGAAAAAAAAAGGTCTCCATAAATCTCTTTTAATAATCCAATAAAGAAGAATGCCTCTACAGGATTAATTCAGCCGTTTTTTTTAGAGGCAAGCAGATAATCTCTGCTTTTATTCTGGACACAATAGAATATTACCCTCCATCCACGTAAACTCATCCCAGCCCCGGCTGTAAAAGTAGTCTTCGTATTACAACCGTAATGACACCTGGCTCTCACAGTCACAACTCACGATGGTCATAAATCTGGTCTCCCACATGACCCGTCCAATTTTATGACCTTCTTTGTGGCAGTCATAAAGTGACTGGACTGCCATTTTTCAGAAATGGCGTAGGGTCTCCTGCTTGGGCAGGGGGTTGGACTAGATGACCTACAAGGTCCCTTCCAACTCTGTTAATCTGAATCTGACTGCCGTGGTCATTAAGTGGATGCTGCAGTGGTTAAGCAAACATGTGGTTCACTGTGGGCCAGTTTTGTCAAAGCCTAAACGTTAAATTCTGATTTTTGGCAAAATTGTTGTAAAAGGCATCACATGGACACAAGTTGGAAAGGTACATCTCCAAAAATGTGGATTGGTTGCTGTTATTGTCAACAGGAATTGTGGTCAAGTGGCTGCGGGGAACTTCACATTGGAGTCATAAGAACAAGTAGTCCTCAACTTACGACCAGAACTGAGCTCAAAATTTCTGTTTGTCAGCAAGATATTTGTTAAGTGACTGTTGTCCCATTTTACGACCTTTCTTGCCACAGTTGTTAAGTGAATCACTGCAGTTGTTAAGTTGTTAAGTGAGTCTGGCTTCCCCATTGGCTTTGCTTGTCAGCAGGTCGCAAAAGGGGATCATGTGACCCCCAGGACCGTCATATATAGGAGTCACTTGCCAAGCGTCTGACCATGGGGGATCCTGCAACAGTCGTAAGTGTGAAAAACAGTTCTAAATCGCTTTTTTTCAATGCTGTTGTAACTTCAAATGGTCACTAAATGAACTGTTGTAAGTCGAGGACAATCTGTGTAGCTATTTCGGATAGCTAAAGTGGAATTGTAAAAATGCAATAAAAAAGAGTTTGAAGCAGGGAGAGGAATTGAAACCCTAATTTATCATTAAAATGTGATGTTTCAGTATTGTTTATTTTTTCACCAAGTTTCTAGCTCTTATCATAGCATAATATGGGAGCAAGGATCTATCTGTCTGTCTGTCTGTCTATTACATAGATTTATATCTAGATAGATATCTAGATAGATATAGATATAGATATCTATACATCTATATATAGAGAGATCTATATAGAGAGAGATTGAAAAAAGACCTGAAAGCATGAATAGAAGAGATGATTCCACCAGACTGTCAATCATTTGGAAGCCTGCACTCTCAAACAAAAAAATCTCCACACCACAAGCAGGCAAACACCTGGGCACAAACAAATTCCCCCCTGATACCTCCAGCTCAAAACACACCCCAACCAGGCACCCAGATGAAACCTAGCTTCCTAATAAATGATAGCCGTCCGTTTACTCGGAGCCAAGCCGCACTAAAAGCCTCCAATACAGGAAACACAATGTTGCCTGCCAATCAAGACACAAAAAAAGCCACAAAACAGAAGATATTAGAAACATCAATCAAGCAGAACACAGCCAACCCCAAGACCAATAAACACAGACCAAGACTCCCAACCAATCAGGATGAAGAAAAAAACCATTGAGGCACAGCAGTAAGCTAGCCCCAAATTTAAAACAGAAACGGCTGTGAAAGTCTGACTCACAGACAAACACAATACAGAAGCCTGATGATGGCAGATGAGATTCTGCCAAAACGTTGCTACAACTTTAAAAGCACAACTGTAACGATGTTTCCTGGAGGTCAAAGTTGCACGATACCAATCTAATCTTTTTTGTTTTGTGTTGCCTGTCTCAGCA